GAGTTCATTTTTATGTTTTTGTCAAAAAAAGAGATTTTTTCAGTTTTTGAAATTTTTGGGAAAGAGTTTTTATGGTAATGATTAGTGTTATATAATAGATAAGAACTATAGATATAGTAATAACTATAAGAAAATATGATTATCAATTAAGACTAATATTTTCTTTTTACTTAAGCAATAAGTTCTATGAATTAAGAATTTACAAGAAGTTAATATTCACAAAATTTTAACTTGATGATCATAGTTAAAGTTATATATTGTTCTTCAAATTTGTTTAATTCCAGATTTTTCAAAGAGACTATAAGTATGACAGAATTTAGTAAAATAATATTTAGTTGATGCTTGTTCAAATAGAATTGTTGTAATTAATTAACAATTCCTTTCAATAATTTCCTCAAATAGTATATATAGATTAAAAAAAATAATTCTGTTTTTTATGTGAATAGCATGTTGCATATACCTATATTTTGCAAAACTTGAGTATCAATAGGCTAAAGTAAATAATAAAATATTGGTGTCATTTGTACAAATTAAGAAATTGAGACTAGGGGATCCTTCAAAATTAGATTCTAAATGATAGTTATAGTAATTTTTGTATAAGTATGATAATTTTTTTTATACAAACTGATAGGCAATGAATCTCCTTATATAATTGTTGAGGTAATACAATTATTTATATTTTCTTATTTAATATAATAATTTTTTTTGATTTGTCAGATATTTCTTATATTTCTTTTCCTATTATGCTTAGAAAAACTAGAGCTACTAATGCACAGAAACTCATTCACTCAGAAAGAATTGATTCTCTGTAGGCAACTGTTATCACTCTCTAGGAAAAGGTCAAGTATTTGAAAAGGCAAATATATTATAATGAATGGTCTTAGGCTAACCTTTAAGAAGAAATCTATCAGTTGAAGAAAGAAATAAAGTGGTTGTCCTCCAGAAGTTTTACTTTAATTAGGATTAAAAAGTTGGAGTTAGAAAATCAGAACTTGTAATAAAGGATGACCAAGCTTGGTATTTTTTGATCTAGTTGAGTGTTTCTATTTTTGCTCTTTTGAATAGAACCTTTTTCTTGTTTAAGCTTTGAGATTTTTGTTTTTTTTTTTTTATATTTTCACTTATTCACTTATAAATACTTCACCTTGAGATCATACAACAATTACCAAGAGCCCTGAAGCCAACTGTAATAGTAGAAAGAGCTCAGGCCATCACTATTATACTATATATTTATTCTTTGAGTTTTCAATATATACAATAGGTTTTTATTTTTCATGATCAAGATATGGTTTCAGTAAGATCAAGTTAAAATGGTAGCCAGAACTTTTTTATCCATAGTTCTAAGTTTAAAGGCTTTATTTCGCAAGTTATAGTAGACAAAGTAAAGTTTTTTTTATTTTGATTTGAGTTTTTCAATAAAGTGTTTGTCTCTAGAAGTATTATAGGCTAATACTTTATTATCAATTTTAAAGTTCCTTTGTTTTTTTTAACTTTAGATGAAATATCTTCTTTTGTTTTCTTTGGACTTTCAGAATATTTTTTTAAATAGTTTTTTGAGCAGTGGATAGAGTTTTAGTCAGTTGGTATAGATAAGTTAAGATATTTCTTTTTATTACTTTATCTATTTCCATATAAAACATTTTAGAGTTGCAGCCATAAACTACTGTAAATAGAAGAAAATAAATTTGATGAAAACTTGTTTTGATATATAATAGATAAATAATGTTAATATAATAAATTTATCCCAATTCTTCTTTTCTTCAATTATTTTTGCCTGAGATTTATATAGAGTCCTATTGAAGCACCCCATTAGCTCATTTGTTTATAGGTGATATGGGGTAGAATAAAAATATTATATTTGAAATTTTTCTAATAAAGACTCAACTATTTCATTCTTAAAATATGTTTTATGATTAAAAAATATGTATTTTGAATATTTATATCTGCAAATAATAACTAGATAAATAAAATCTGCCACTTGTTATCTTATAGTATATATGATTATTTTAGTTTTAGGCTATTCATTAAAGTAGTCGGTTGCAATTATAATAAATTGTTTTTCTTGCTTGTGATTAGAAGGTGTTCTATAATATCAATACTTATTTTGAAAAAAGGATTACCAATTGTGATTGGGTGTAAGAATCCAGGGATCCTGAATTTGCTTTATCATTAATATTGATCACAGATATTAATATAATACTTCATATTTTCAAATACTTGGGATCAATAATATTAATCATATAGTTTTCAATGACCTTATTCATACTAAAATAAACTCCAATAGAATAGTTATATAGTAAGTATAAAATTGATTTCACTTCATGTTTTTAAATTACACAAAGTAATTGATTCCTTGTTTTTTATAACAATTTTTTTTATAAAGTTGATTTTTTTTCACTTGATAGTATTATGCTTTAGAAATAAGTTGCTTTTGTTATTTTTGTCAAAAGTGTTAGATAATTTGTTGTATTGAAGATAGTTTTTGAGATAATGATAATATTGAAATTCTATTTTGATAAGATAGGTTGTGTTGTTATTCAGAACACTGACTATTTGGATTAGATATTATTTATTGTTAGATTTTACTTGTGTTTATTGACTTTGAATTAATTTTTGATGGACGTAAACTTAGAATTATAGAAAATTAATTTATCAACATTATATATCTTAGACATGACATCAATATTATTGTATTTTCTTCTAGCTTTATATTTAATAGTAAAGTTGTAGGATTCTAAATGAAGTATCTGCTCTGTATATTTTTTTTTAAGTTTAATTGTTTTCAATTATTGAAGTGTAGAGTAGTTAGTAATCAAGAAGAAGTGTTAAGTCCCTAAATATTGATGAAAGTGTTTAACAGTCCAGATAATTACAAAATATTTCAATTCAGTAAAAAAATAGTTATGCTTAGCTTTGTTGAAACCGCAATTAGTATGGACTATTGCATACTCTTTTTTTCTATTCTTTTATGTCAAAATAGCATCAATACCAGTTCTGGAAGTATTAGTATAAAGATAGAAAAGCTTGGAGAAATTAGGATATCTCAAGACTGAAAATAAGATTAAGAGTTGCTTTAAAGTTTTAAAGGATTGCTAGTGATCATTCATCTATTCAAAGAGATACAGTATCTTTTTTCAAAAAAGAATTCAAAGGGTGAGTAATAAAAGAAAAGTTTTTAATAAACTTTCTATAATAAGAGGCAAGTCTAAGAAATTCTTTCAATTGTCTGATAGTAGTCAGCCTTAAGAATTTTTTAACTTTCACAAATTTGTTAGTATTAAATTGGATTCTCTCACAGTTAATTATATGGTCAAGTAATTTTACTTGCAATAGAAAAAAATGTATTTTTCAGAATTTAGTATTTTAAAGGCTTCCTTGAGAGCATCCAAGATAATGGAAACATGCTAATAGTGGAGTTCAAAGGTAGTAAAGAAGGTGATAATATTATCAAGATAAATTTTAACAAATTTGCCATAGTAGAGAGCCAATACTTTGTCCATTAATTGCTAAAAAGTTGCAGGAGCATTGCAAAGATCAAAGTGAATAACATTGAATTCATATAAATTGTATTTTGTTATAAATATTGTTTTGTTTTTGTTCTTATCACTTATTATCACTTGCCAATATTCACTTGCTAGATCAAGACAGGTGAACTATTGAGCACCATTGAAGGTTTCCAAAACATTATTAATAATTGGCATAGAATAGATATTCTTTTCAGTAATTGCATTAAGTTTTCTATAGTTAACACAGAAGCACTGATTATTATTTTTCTTGGATACTAATAAAATTTTATCAAATTATTAATAAATTGTTAAGTTGAATATTTTATTTATTATTTTATTAATAATTTATTATCAAATTTTTTATTGTTATTTTACTATTAAAACAGTAATATGCCTAATGTCACTATTTAAAAAATTTTTATTAATCTTTTTATTAATAAATTTAACTAAATTTAGTAACAATTAAGTTGCTAAGTTGCTATTTTAACTAGTATATGCTGTATATATTTATAAGAAATACTTAAAAATTTTTATAATTTATAAATTGTTAACTTACTTATTTTAAATAACATACAAATATCAAATATTTTTTTTTGTATAAAAAAAATTTTTTTTAAGCAAAATACTAGATTAATAATTTTTTTTCAATTTATCAAGTAAATTAAGATTTAATATATTTTTTAAAAATAGATATAGTGTTTTTTATTTTATAGTACAATTTTATATATCTACTGTATATATTGTATATATACTGTATAAGGTATATTTATATTTATATTTATTAATCTATTTTAGTTTTTAATTTTTAATTTTTTTTTTTTTTTAATATTAAAATAAAAAAAGTAATGATTTTGTATCGCCATTAAAAGTTTCAATTATTTGTATATTCCAAAGTTGATTTTATTTTTTGATTAATTGTATATTCGAAAGTTGAATTGATCTTGTAAGTCGTAAATTTTATTGAATTTCTGTATGCATTTTATTTCATACTTTTCTTTTAAACAATAACTAGATTCCGTAAATGTTTTACCAAACTCGTGAATTTTACCAATCGTAAATTATGCGTGAAATATACTTTATACGATATACTGGGTATGTTGTTTAATATAAAATTTATTAAATGAATTTGCAAGTGATATTTGCTCAAGATTCCGAGAATTAATTTTGCACAGACTTGTCGACTTATTTGGATATAACTCCGTATTAGCTGACTGAAATGGGTAGTGTGACAATAGCGTCTTCCGATAAATCGGGATAGGGTAAAAATGCTGCATTTAATAAAATAGCACGTAGCTAGCTTTTTTTTTTACAAGATCACTTGATATCGTGCAAAAAAAATGTGAAGAAATGAGGAGAATGAGGCCACCAATCGCTAAGTAATATACGTCGATCTCTTCGATTGGCAGTACAAAAATTTTGGCGCATGCGGGTATGTGTGCACTTACTAGTATTCCTCGGAATTCTACAAGGAGAGAGAATCGAACCCTGATCCAGATGACATTAATCCCAACATACGAAATCGATAGAACGGACTTAACAAGATGGAGGTTAAAAGTTGATCATGGTAGACAAACGTGGCATTATTTGGAGAGTGAAGAGGAAATCAGAAATTATCCTCAATCTATTATTGAAAAGTATTGGCTCGGTTTGCCTTTTGTAAGTTTTTTTTTTTATTGCTTTATATCAATATGTCTATGCAATTCGGTTCACCTAACCAGAGAATTTTGTGATTTCTCTAGGAAACCGAGAAGTTTGGTCTCCCAACAAGCGCACTAGAATCAGCGCGGAATGGATTTGAATTCTTCAAGAAACTACAAACCGAGGATGGTCATTGGGCAGGAGAATACGGAGGTCCAATGTTTTTACTCCCAGGACTTATCATCGCGATGTACATCACGAAAATACCAATCCCTGAAAGTTGGAGATTGGAGATCATTAGATATCTGTTTAACAAAGCGCATCCGGTTGACGGTGGCTGGGGACTGTGAGTTTTTCTTATCATTTACCGAGTAAGGGGTCGAGTGCTGATATAACTTTAGATCAATAAAATTTTGCGATTCATAGTCATATTGAACACCATTCGACAGTCTTTGGAACCGCGTTGAATTACGTTACGCTTCGAATTCTGGGAGTTGATGCTGACCATCCGCTCATGGTAAAAGCTCGAGGAACCTTGCATAAACTGGGTGGGTTCTCCATGCTTGTTATTCGTGGATGCAGTATAACTTTCGCGGGATGTTAATAATAAGTATTCTTTAGGTGGTGCTGCTGGTGCTCCTTCGTGGGGCAAATTTTGGTTGGCAAATTTAAATGTATATGATTGGGAGGGGATTAATCCGATTCCGCCGGAATTTTGGTATTAAATGTTTTAAATGTTTTTACAGTTAGTAAAGTAATCACGAGACATAATCTGACTCGCTAATTGTACATTTTCAAAAGGCTTCTTCCCTACAGTTTACCAATTCATCCCGGTCGTTTCTGGATTCACACACGTGTGGTTTATCTTCCCATGGGATACATTTACGGTAGAAGATTGAGTGCTGAAGTGACGCCGTTAATAGAACAACTGCGACAGGAATTATACACTCAACCTTATGAATCAATAAATTGGTCGAGCATGCGTGATAACATTGCAAAAGCTGACCTTTACATACCCCATACAAAAATTTTGAATTTTTTTAATTGTAAGTTTTTTTTTTATTTATCAGATTATGTTCCGCACGGTCGTCTTCAATGTTATTGTTCTGAATTGTATTTTAAATCTTGACGTGTTCAAGTCTTTTTGAATATTTACGAGAAAATCCCAAACTTTCTTGGCCTTCGGGAAGTTTCTATTCAAGAGTCCTATGCTCTCATACAATGCGAAGACGAAAACACAGATTACCTTGACATCGCCCCTGTAGGTATATATTTACTCTGCTCGAAATGTTGCTAGGTTTTGAGTAATTTCCTGTTTAATTAATTAATTCTTCAATTTTAGGTAAGTAAGGTAATACACATTCTTTGTACGTATTACGAAGAGGGACCTGACTCGAAGGCATTTAAACTTGCCAAAGAAAAGTTGATCGATTACATGTGGTAGGTATATAATATTCGCATTTATTCGATGATTCTGTGTGGATGTTTTCACATATTCTGACATCCGAGTGTTAGGATGAGTTCCGAAGGTATGATGGTGTGTGGCACTAATGGAACTCAAGTGTGGGATACTGCATTCATGGCTGTGGCACTAATAGAGACAGGTGATGAAAGGATTATTCTCATTTTGATTTTTTTTTCGTCACAATTCTTTTAAACATTTGATTCTTATTTTTACTCATAGGTTTGGCGGATGACCCCGCGTACCATGAGTCGATGATTCGGGCACTAGAATTCTTGGACTATTCTCAGTTTAAAAATGATCCCATTTACATGGATCGATGTTATCGAGGAAAAACAAAGGGTGCGTGGGGATTTAGTACCCGTAATCAAGGTTATGTTGTGTCGGACTGCACTGCTCTCGGGATGAGTGCGGTACTTGGCCTCCAGGAAAAGCTTAGGTGAAGTGTCTTTACATTGTGCCCGAAATGAATTCTATGTTAAAAATTGATCAGCATTCAGAAAGTGTTGAATCATCGAGCAAAACTCGAGCAATCTGCTTACTAACTAGGTCCTGTCCATCAAATGACAAATACTGTAGTTATACTCCAAAACTGATTTCCAAAGAACGTTTATGTCAAGCCGTCGACATTTTATTAGATATGCAAAATGATGGTGGAGGTTTCGCCAGTTATGAACGTATTCGTGGTCTAAGTTTTCTGGAATTGATGAATCCAGCAGAGGTTTTTGGAAATATCATGATCGAATATAGCTATCCCGAGTGCACTTCTAGTGTTATAACGGGACTGTACGCATTTTCGAAATATTACCCCGACTATCGGGCCGATGAAATTAAGTAAGATCACGATGTGCATAATGTATACGCATATTCTTTTTCTTCATAATTCACTTCCTCCTTTTTATAATTACGATATTAATCGAGTAATCGTGATTTGTTGATTGATAGGAAGGTTTGCGATAAAGCTAAAAAGTACATTTACGATTCGCAGCTGGAGGATGGGAGTTGGTATGGTTCATGGGCCATCTGTTTCACCTACGCCACCATGTTTGCAATGGAAGCATTGGCGAGTTATGGTGAGACCTACAAGAATAGGTAAATTCTACATTTATAAAGAGCGAGCCGTTTCTATGAGATAAATTAATTAAAATTTACGAAATAGTGAGACCGTTAGAAAGGGGTGCGAATTTTTGCTTTCTAATCAGATGAACGACGGTGGTTGGGGCGAATCTTACAAGGTGTGTTAACCGTTATGCTGCATTGCGTTAACGTGAATTGAATTAATTATGAAAAAAATTTCCGGTAGTCGTGTGAACTTGGAGTCTATACTCATCACAAAAAATCTCAAGTTGTGAATACCGCTTGGGCATTGCTCGCCCTGATGTATGCTAAATATCCCAAAGAGGAACCCATTCGACGTGGAATTCAGGTAAAATAAATAAATGAATTATCTTTGACACACCATTGAATTGTGTAGATTGATATGATTTATCTAATTTCTTTCATTCAATCTGCATTGAACATTAGCTTATAATGAAACGTCAATCATCATCCGGGGAATGGAAACAAGAGGCGATCGAGGGGGTATTTAACAAGAACTGCGCCATCAGTTATCCAAATTATAAATTCATTTTTACGATTTGGGCACTAGGAAAATATGCCAAACTATATGGAAATCCCACCATCGTCTTCTGATCTTTTAAATGGCAAGCGAGCTGGAGACACCTCGTAAAATGATACCATAATTTTTTTATAACCTACAATCTTCTAATTCTTGCACTTCTTTAATATAGTTTGACACCACTTTTCTTATTCTGTATACTGTATCCAATTTATCCTTAAAACTTGGATAAAAATAAAATTTATAGTAAAGAAATATTATTTAATTTTACTTTATTGCCTCATGGATACTCGTGTCCATGTTTTTCTTTGTTTCATGCATGTTAATGTTATTTACCCAAGATGTTTCGCGACTGCCATCCTAATTTGCACGTGAATCTTTATTTACTAATATGCCGGCAGTCGGATCAATTACTCATTTTATCATTTACGTAGAAACTGAACGTCTTTCTTTTAGTTAGTGCTAATATCTCACGAGGAAGAGGTATGACTTGGAGATAATGCTAAGAACACTCTTTGGTGTAGTCGAAAACTGATTCCTGAATTAGAAACAATGGTCAACGAGTAGATCGAGGCATCATTTTTTATAAAGAGTCACAATGTGGAAGAAAGCTATACATAACTTTTATAAAGTATTTTCCTAACGCTCGTGACGCTTAACATACGCGCGAGTCAAATGAATCGAAAAGTCGGGTCCTACCTAAAACGTAAATTAATTCTTCCGTCATCGCAACGGTCAAAAAATGCGAACTTTGCGGCGGCATATAAAAAGTTCTCTTAAAAAATATGTACGTATATAGCTTGGTTAGCAGCGTTATTAGCAGCATTTCAACAAAGTATCCTGAAAGACATCTACGATCACTAAGAATACGGTATTTTTGTAACTGTTCTATGTCTACTCCTGAAACAGGTAATCAAGCAACGTTTTTCTTTTTTTCTAATCAATAACTATCCAAATCAAAATTTTTGTCTAAGGCTTCTTGCAAATTACAATAAATTTTTCCTTCATTAATCAAATCATTATCCAGTAGTATAAATTCATTAGTCCCTTTGTAACTACAGCATCTTTATTGCATCTATTGTTTTGCTCTTTGAATCAAAACACCCAAGTGCTTTAAAAAAAGGAAATACTGTATATTGTAACTTTTAATATGTTTTTTAAACCTAATCAAGATCAAACTACACATATAAGTATTAAACATAGCAAATAATAGTATATTATAAACATGGTTTAATATATTTATAAATTAATAAATTGAATTTATTCTTTCATTTCTAATTATAGGTTTACCTTTTATTTTATTTTTTAAATCATAATTATACGCTCATTACTCTCATAACATGTTTTTATTAAAACATCAAATACATATTTATAATATAGTACTAATTATAATTAGGTTACTCTTCCAAGTTATAAAAATTTTAATGTAAAAAAATTTTTTTTTATTTTAAAGTTCAATATAAATATTAATAATTAATATATAATATACTGTAATTACCATTAGATTTTATTAAAGCTAAAATTTAATTATAAATAATAAAACTCTTTCCGCTAATCCCTTGACAACACACAAAAAAGATGTTCGCAAAAATTTTTATACTTTTCTACTAATAAAGTCTTATTAATTTCCCTAAAACAACTTGAAGAATATCTTCAAGAGTCCCTTCCAACTTCCCTTTCTTGTTTATACTCCTTTTCAAACAAAAACTTGACTTCCGGTAATCAAGAAAAGTCATAAAACACTTTTTTTTACCTATGACAAGAAAGTTCTAAAAGGAAGAAAAACCAATAGTAAAGTACTGAAAACCTATCTCCTGAAGTAAGAGTGCAACTAGAGGTTTTCTGTAGTGAGTAGACGGGTGAACAAAAGCCTAAACCTAAAATTTCCTTTCCACTGTTTCTACCCTCTTAGAGTCACTCATTTTTCAGAGTTTTTTGGGGAATTTTGCCTACCCCAGCTTGACCCTGAATCTTGGAGTGATACAAAATCAACATAGCTTTTACTAAAGGTAATTAATTGACATAAAACACGTTGGTAGCAGAATGTAAACAAGCTCCTACTAGTTACATCATGTGTTCCGATGATGTCATTGGTAAAAAAAAGAGTGACCACTGGTACGGACTTCTCCACTTCTCCAAATGAAGTATAACTGAAGCAAAGAAATCATGAGACCATTAAGATGGGCACTAAATTCTCTAGATAGTGAAAAGGTAATTATTTGTTCAAATCAAGGCCTTTAACTTCTTATCATTCCAGTTAGACAAAGTACGCGAAAAAGATTATTTCCTTATCCCAGTCAAGCTGTAAGACTGAAAAGCAGAGAAATGTACAACACTGCCCTTCTCTAGGATTGAGGGTGCATTTCCTCAGACATTGTATAATGATATTATAATTGATGAGAATCCCTAATACTGGTCAAAAACCTCACACCATTACAAGGTAAAAAGATTCATGAAGGATCTGACTTTTTGGATAATGGAAGATATACATCAGTAAAATTCCTTTAACTAGGCATGGCTACTGGAAGATATCAGGAGTTACACAACAAGACTGAAAAGCCACATAAGAACCTGGTATCCATTATTAACCATTTTGTTCTATGCAGGTGGATACAAAATCAAGACCAAAAGAAAGGAAGCATTGAGCAAAACACTGGATCTGAGTAGACAATAAGTACTTCAGACGGTCATAAAAAAATAATCAAAATCACAAATAGATAAGTTCCTCAGATGGTCAGGAAAAAGAAGGATATCCCAGAAGGGTTAACTTCTAATGAGAAGAGGTTTTTAGCAAAAGTTTTTTGGAAGACATGAAACACTTTATTTTTTTTTTTCATTTTCATGTAAGCACAATTATATATTTTTAGATATTTCCTTTCCTTTTTTTTTTCACTTTTCCCTTTTGTAGTTTCTTAAAATCAATTCATTGGAAGATAATAAATAGTGACAACCTGCTGGCAATGATGGGTAAGTTAGAAGGGTATATATCCAAAACTTAGTTCAGAGTAAAATATTGTCCCCAAGATTGCACTTAGAGGCTGAAGCTCATTTGAGAATTGAAAGCCATTAACGAGTGTATCAGTATAAGTTTTTAGTTTAGCCATGATGCAATTGTCCTATGTATCTCTATCAGTTTTCATATTGATTAATAAAAAAAAAAAAAAAAAAAAAAAAAGTCAAAATTTAATTATTTATACTTTTAACTAATTTTTTAACTAATATATTAAAAAATTTATTTTATTTCTTTATTATTTCATGTTTAAATCTATGATTGTTCTTATTTTTTTTTTTGCTATATTTTAATCTTTAAAAGTTATTATATATTTTTTATCAGATTTTGATTCAAAAATATGTTAACTATAAAAATAACTTAATAAAAAAAAAATTTTTTTTTTTTAAACAATATTTCAAATTATTATTTTCTAAAAGATATCAATTCATATTATTATCATTAAAAATATCTATACAAAGGTTAGAAAATTATTTCTATAGATATTACATAAAAATTAGTATTAAGATTATAAATAAAGAAAATTAATTTGGCAAATTCTAAAGTTGAAAAATAGTCTCAAATATAAATCTTTTATGGATATTTTATAATTCAAATTTTTTTGTCTTTTAATAAATTGATATATTTTTTTATTTAATTGAAATAAATAGATAATATATTTATCAGTAAAAATTATTTTATCCCAATTAAACTTTTATATTTTATCATCTAGTTTAAATAATTTTCCCAATATCTTTTATTAAGAAATAATTTTAATATTATATTTATATATTTAACTTTAAATAATATTTAACAATACTTTTATTAATAACATGGCCTAGTTCTTACTAGGTCACATAAGAACCTGGAGTCCATCATAAGTCGGCTGTCTATCGCAGGTGGATAAAAAATCACTGCCCAAAGAAGGTTGGGACCAAGTATGTCCTAGAAGTAAAGGCTCCCACTAGGTGATAAGTCTCCTCAGATGATACACGAAAAGGAAATCAAGATCAAGAATGGATAAGTTCCTCAGATGGTCAGGAAAAGAAAGAATATTCCAATTGGACATTTCTTATTGAGAAGAGGTCTTGAGAAGCAGGTCTTTGGAGGAAGCTAGAAATATTTTTTACAATTTTTACTCTTTTATTTTCTTGTCATCTGTTTAGACATTTTTAGATATCCCCCCTCTCCTTTTTTTCAACCCATCCTTTTGTAGTTTTCTGTATTCCAGCGGCTTGGTCAGACATATGGCAATGACAACCTGCTGGCAATGATGCAATGGACTAGGAGAGTCTTCACCCAAAGACACTGCAGAGCGAAATATTGTCCTCAAGGCCGAACTTAAAGGCTTTTATGCTTATGACGAGTTAGTTAGATTAGAATAATAGTTTAGCTGTAGTATGTATTATGCTGTTCGAATGAAAATGTACTTTTGTCTTCATTTGATTAATAAACTGACAATCTAGTCTGACTATGGGTACTCAAAAAAAAAAAAAAAAAACAATACTTTTGTTAATATAAATATTTGGTTTTTCAAATTTTTTTTTTATATTTATACTAATTATACAAATTTGTTTTTCAACTATTTTTAAAATTTCATATCTTGAACAAAAGTTGTTAATAATAATAATTAAATTTTGATTAATTATTTAAATTTTAATTTTATGAAAATTTTTAAGTACTTTAATTAATACAGATTTATTATAATTATTATAAATAGATATTTTTTTAAAACCAAGTTTTAATTTTAATAGTATTTATATAAAAAAACAATTTTGTATTATTTATAAAGTAAAAAAACATTTTTTAAATATAAAACTTTATAACTATCTAATTTTTTCCAAAAAATATTACACAAACTTACAAAAATATTTCAAAAGTAATTATAACATAATTTCAAAAAACAGAAAATATTTTACTTTTGATTAATACTATATTATAAAAACTATTTATTTAATAGATTATATTACTTAAGAATATAAAATTTTTAAATTAATTTGAATTAAATAAAACAAAATTTAAATTAAATACTTTAGATTAAATTTAAAATATAATTTTTTTTTTATTTTTTAATAAATTAATAATTCCTATCTATTAGAATTATTATCAATAAAAATAAATTGTTAAATTAATATAAACCTCTTTAACAAATTCTTATTCAAATAAATAATTTCTTTTTAAAAAAATCTATTTGATTGAAATATTCTTTTTATTTCAAACTATTTAAGAAACTCATTTATTAATTATCAAAACTATAGTTACAATCATAAGTATCTATATCACTAACATTTTTTATTCTATATTTTAATACCCTTCCAAAATTTCTAGAATTTGAAAGTACTACTAACTTTAGAAGTCTGTGTAATTTCAAGTTTATATGATGCTTCTAATAGGAATTAGATAATCAATGAATTTCATATATAAAAAATGTTGTTTCTTCCCCTTCACTATCACTTTGAGATCATTTTTCTTTATGAACATCAATATGGGCTACATTGGAATTATGAGGAAATAACAGCTTATATTGGTTGTACCAAATCTGTGAAGTCATATTGGATTAAGAGATGGAAGGTTTTTGATAACCTTAGTGATCAAAAAAAGCTTGGCTGGCAATACAGCACTATAGAAAAACAAGATGCATGAATAGTGAAAATGGCAAAGACAAAGCATAACATAACAAATATTTAGATTAAACAAAAAATGGAAGCCAAGAACATATACATTAGTAAGAACATTATTAAATGACATCTTTGAGAAGCTAGCAGAAAATATTTTGTTGAAATTACAAAACCTTTGCTCTCTGAGAATCATTAGACAAAACGATTAATGTGGGTGAAAAAATATCAAAACTTTAATTGAGAATGGGTTATTTTTACTGATAAGTGCACGATTTAATTATTTTGAGCAAAAAAAAGGTCAGGCAATTTGGAAAAAAAAAAGGTCACTTTATAGTTAAGCATTCACAAAAAATCTATGTTTGAGAATATTTTTCAATTTTGGATTTAGTAGACTAGTATACTTCATAAGGAACTTTAATATAAAATTTATGTGTAGGGTTTACGAGCAGGATCTCTTGCCTTCTGCCTTCATATTTTTTGAAGAAGATAATTTAGATTGGTTTTTGCAAAAAGATAATAATTCCAAGCACCAATCAAAAATCGCAAAAGCCTGGAAGCAAGAAAGAAGCATAAGTGTACTTTCTTGGTCATTAATGTCTCCAGATCAAAACCCTATCGAAAATGTATGGCAAGTATTGAAGTTTAAATATGGAAAATAAAATAAGGTTAATTAGAGAATTCCAAAAAAGTCTAATGGAGGAATGAAACCATTTCACATTTAAATTTGCTGCAAAATTGATATGTAGTATGGATTATTGAGTTGTGATGCTAATTGAGTCCAATGGTGACTTTACAATGTATTAGAACTTAAAGTCTGTTTTGTAATTTATTTTAAAAAAAAAATTTTTTTTTTGATTGCATTATTTTTACATAAATAGCGGTAATATAGATACTTATGACTATGACTGTATACATCATTTGAAAAATTATTACTGCAAGTTTTTAAGATAAAAAATCTTATTTTATATTTTTTTGATAAAAAGGTTTTTTAAATATTTTATAATAGATTCTTTTTTTTAAAAAATTTTTTTTATTATTGACAATCAAAATATTGTCTTTTTTTGATTGTTAAAAGTTAAGATTTTAATTAAAGATTTTAATCAAAAGAAAAAAGATATTAATAATCTATAAAAATGTTTTTTAAGTTTGTTTAAAGAATAACATTTGTATATAGTTCAAAAATGTTTTTTATTGACAATGGTTAAAAGACAAATTTTTGGATAAAATCGTATATACTGTTACTAATATTATTTTGCATTTCAATATCTTATTTTAATAATTCAACAATAATAATTTAAAAACATATACAGTATGCCCTAATAATTTAACGATTCGGTCATGACGTCAAGTTTTTACTCCGGACCATTTATTGAACGGTCATGCAAACTCGTCGGATCGATTTTTTTTGCAATATCAATTGGGACAAATAAAATTCTTGAAATTGGTTGTTTATGCTCATTCAATGAAGACACAGAATTAAAACGAAACTTGCTTGCCAACACCATTTGAGGCTTAGAAGGCTTGGTAAAAAAATCTTGCTTTAACACTTTAACACGTGACTCTATTAAGTCCGGAGAATTTAAAGTGATTTCACGTGATGCCACAGCTGTGTGCACTCTCGAGAATGGGCTGTGCTATGTAAATTTGGCTGTGTTCATGTTTATTTACTGCAACTCGACCGTAAATCAAACTTCTCGTGCCTTCGTCATTTCTACATTATCTAGGTACTACAAATAGTTATCACTTACATTCGCAAACCGGTCTTGAACGGCCTCATTATATAAATTTATAAATGGCTAGGGAAACTTCAATCGCTTTAAAAACTATTATGAGCTTTTCGTCCGACGGTCGACAAAAACAAAGGATTTCCGATCTAGAGGACGAAACGCCATTAATTCAAAGCGAAGAATACGCAGAGGTTAGTTTTTCTGTTCACAGAGCACTTTCTCTACGGCTCCGGAAAGCTACTCTTTGATTTTCTTTCTTCCCTTTGAAACATTAAATTATTCCCACACGTAGATGTTTTGTAAGTAGATCGAATTTTTTTGAAATTTCTTATTTATTCTCATAAACTTTCGAATTCTTTAGAGCTCATCAACATCTTCACGACAATTACCGCAACAACGAAGGCGTCAAAGACAGCCACAAAGCAATATGGGAAAATCACCACAACTAAAATCACGAACCATATCATTTCACGCATCAGGTAATAAAAATCGATTTATCGGCCAATTGGAAGAAATAATTCGTTAACTTCATCCCACGCGCTTCGGCTCGTTAGATAAAGTGAAGGACAAGTTTCCACCGAATGTGGTCCGCAATCAGAAATATAGCCTCATAACATTCTTTCCGTTGGTGTTTTATGAGCAAGTAGGATCAATCTTTTCCTCAAAACCGAATTTCTTTCACTGCACTAGTCACTAATCACCATTCTTCTGTCAATCATAGTTTCACGTATTCATCAATCTATACTTTCTTCTCGTGGCATTGTCTCAATTCATTCCTCCATTGAAAATTGGTACTAAAGATTAACTCATCTTTTTTGCAATTATTTTCGCGATTAAAGTTTTTTCTTGTAATTTGCAGGATACATTATAACATATTTTGGTCCATTATGCTTTGTGCTTTTAATTACGATGGGAAAGGAGGCCTATGATGATTGGAAACGATATAAAAGAGATCAAGAAAATAATTCTCGGAAATATCAGATATTGACACGGAAAGGACCCAAAAATGTTCCAAGTTCACAATTACGAGTGGGAGATTTGTTATTAATTCACAAGGATCAGAGAGTATGCATCAAAGTTTGATCACTCGGAGACATGTATTATCAAGTGTTATTAAAAAGGGATAATGTTTTAATAGATCCCTGCTGATCTTGTTCTACTTCGGACTACCGAGACAGGTGGGGCATGCTTTATTCGAACAGATCAATTGGACGGTGAGACTGATTGGAAATTAAGGTTTGCTTTAGTTGATTTTACTCTAGTCCCGGAATAGGATTCTTATTCGTCAATAATGAAAGGTTAATTTTTATAGAATTGCTGTACCATCTTGCCAAAATTTACCATCAAATACCGATCTACTTTCCCTTGATGCCGAAATATATGGTAAAAAAATTTTTTTTTTTTTTTTTTTTTAATTAATTGATTTTCGTGGATACGCGCGGCCGAATCTTATTATTATTATTAACCTTCAGCCGATGCCCCTCATAAGGATATTCATAATTTTATTGGCAACTTTTGTAAACAGATGCCGGGAAATATTGCAAGTATAAAAGACATAATTATTATATCGATATTGATATCGATCTTGACTTCTATTTTTTGTGCCATTAAATAGGCACCTCAGATTGAGCCGCTTAATGTAGAGAACACCCTGTGGATGAATACTGTGCTCGCCTCTGGTACGGCTGTAGGATTTGTGATTTATACTGGCAAGGATACTCGAGCGGTGATGAATACCAGCCATCCCTCTACCAAGGTTGGCCTGATAGATCATGAAATAAACAATCTTTCCAAGGTTAGTTTTCCTCGGCTCGATAGCTTTTTAAAGGCACAATTGATTTTTAGCTAATCTTGTGATTCAATGCATATAGATCCTGTTCTTGGTGACCTTTTTATTGTCCTTTTTGTTAATCGCGTTGAACGGGTTCCGTGGGCTCTGGTACATTTATTTATTTCGATTTTTGATCATATTTTCGTCCATCATCCCTATCAGGCAGGTTTCATACTCTTTTTTTTTCACGCATACTATACTTTTTAGTTTTTTTTTTTACAAAGAAATTTTGATTTACCTAGTCTTCGTGTAAACTTGGACATGGGAAAGACAGTTTATGCATATCAAATCATGAACGACAAAGATATACCGGATACTATCGTTCGCACGAGTACTATTCCTGAGGAACTTGGTCGAATCGAATATTTTCTGTCTGATAAGACGGGGACTCTCACCAAAAATGGTATTTCTCATTATCTAACGTAATCGTGTCAACGATTTCGATTATCAAATGTGAATCCTTATTTATTCACCATCCACCAATTTTATGACAAGATATGGAGCTTAAAAAACTTCACATGGGAACAATGTCATATGGTGTTGAGTCCTTAGAAGATTTATCAAATCAGCTTGCCGCAGCATTCCAACAGACTAAAGGTAATTTCAAGATGTTGGACACACATTTTTTACACATTCGTTTGTCTATTCACCACAATATGGCGTTGCAATGATAGAATCAACAAGTGGTCGTCATCATCCTCATGGGAAAAGTAAGCGAGACATGACTTCCAGGGTTCGCGATATAGTGCTTGCTTTGGCCTTATGTCACAATGTGAGTAATACCGGATGTAGTTATTAACAAGAGGTGTCGTATTATGTCCGTTTTATAGGAGGTCACTATTGATGCATCAAAAAAAAAATTTTTTTTTAGGTTACACCGGTCGTGGATGATGGAGAAGAGCCAACCTATCAGGCTTCATCACCTGATGAAATTGCCATAGTTCGATGGACTGAACGAGTGGGCCTAACTTTGGTGTTTCGAGATATGAATGAGATACATCTTCGAACAAGAAATGACACTATTCTCGAGTTTCAAATTCTCCATACATTTCCATTTACCAGTGAGTCTAAAAGAATGGGAATAGTGGTGAAAGACAAAGCTACGAATGAGATAATGTTCTATCAAAAAGGGGCTGATGTGGTGATGAGTAGAATTGTTCATTATAATGATTGGCTAGATGAAGAATGTGGAAATATGGCAAGGGAAGGGTTGAGAACGTTGGTTATTGCTCGGAAGAGGTTATCTGATGATGTATATAGCGAATTCGCAAACAAGTAATTTCTCATTTTTTATACATTTAGTTGATGAGGTAATTATTTGCCCTCTGCTTTTCTCATCTTTTTCTCATCTCTTTTTTTTTCTTTTCTTTTTTCAGGTACACTCAGGCTAAATCGAGCATTTCAGATCGCAAAGCCCAAGAATCCGCTGTTGTATCAAGTATTTTGGAAAATGACTTGGAGCTTTTGGGAGTTACTGGGGTTGAGGATAAACTTCAAGATGGAGTGAGAAATACGCTCGAGCAACTGAGGGCAGCCGGTCTTAAAATATGGATGTTGACTGGTTTGTTTATAATTTCGTTATTGGATTTATTTATATATTATGAGTAAAGTTATCAATTTTGCATTTTACTTTCACAGGTGATAAAATTGAAACGGCGACATGTATAGCGGTATCTTCGAAATTAGTATCAAGGGGTCAAAAGATTCATCAGATATCACAAAGTCAGTAACGTGGCATTAAGAATGATGATTCGTGTTTATTAATACTAGTATCACAACGGTTTCTGTTATCGCAGTTAGGGATTCGGAAGAAGCCGTTGAGATGCTAGATATTTTGCAAAGCAAAAATGATGTTTGTCTAGTAATTGACGGAACCTCGCTTCAGGTATACACTAATTAGAATGAAATTTAACAGAAATAATAATACGGTATCTATCGATATATTATCGTAATCACTTTGAAATTTTATAGTTTTACATAGACCATTATAGAAATGAGTTCATAGAAATCGCTGTGCGACTACCCGTTGTGGTTGCCTGTCGCTGCTCACCAACACAGAAGGTTAGTGTTCTCCTAGTATCCATTTACTCTTCATTTTGAAACTTAATTTTTACTCTCCATTTTGAAACTTAATTTTTACTCTCCATTTAGGCTGAAGTCACGCGCCTAATTATGGAATTCACAAAGAAGAGGGTATGCTGCATAGGTGATGGTGGTAATGATGTCAGTATGATTCAGGCGGCGCATGTTGGTAAGGATGCTTGCTTTTTTAAAAAAAATTTTTTTTCTTCATTACATTACATTATATTTTTAAGCTTACCTGGTTACAATATGAAATTTAATTATAGGCATTGGTATCGTAGGAAAGGAGGGTAAACAAGCCTCTTTGGCAGCCGACTTCTCTATAACGCAGTTCAGCTACGTTCTAAAGCTTTTATGTGAGTAGTTTTTTTTTTAAAAAAAAAAAAAAAAGAAAAGAAAAGATATATAATAATAATAATAAGGCTATATGCTTTTTAACAATAAAAAAATAAAAAAATTTTTTCAGTATGGCATGGAAGAAATAGCTATCGTCGCTCCGCGAAACTTGCTCAATTTATTATCCATCGCGGTCTTATAATATCAATTATACAGGCCGTATTTTCTGCGTTATTTTTTTTCGCACCGATTGCTCTTTATCAGGTAATAAGATGTGTCCTGTCGATGTAATTTATGTTTATGGATTTTTGTAATATTTAATTTCTTAATATTTTAGGGAATTTTGATTGTCGGGTACTCCACTGTATACACCATGGCTCCCGTGTTCTCATTGGTTTTGGATCAAGATGTGAGCGAGTCAATAGCGCTTAGATTTCCGATATTGTATATAGAGCTGACGAAGGTACTTATAATTAACACGGAAATTTTAATTGATTTTAGTTATAGTTACTCTATTGTAAAAAGTTATTTTTGACAAACTGCGTTTTAACATATAGGGACGTTCTCTATCGCTGAGAATTTTTTTTGAGTGGTTAATGATTAGTGTTTATCAAGGTATGCGATTAATTTATTTTATGCTATGTTTAATTTAATTAAAAAAATTTTTTTTATTATACTTTGTGATTAGGCGGTGCCATCATGATCATGTCAATAATATTATTTGAAGATGAGTTCGTTAATATTGTTTCGATCTCGTTTACTGCCTTGATTCTAAATGAGTTAATAATGGTTGCACTTGAGATAAATACATGGTGCGTTGAGCTATTTTTCAGATAATATTTTTTCATGTTCAAACGCTGTCATCCTCAATTTTGTTTTATTTTTAAGGCACTACCTTATGATAATCTCCGAGATTGTTACGCTGGCTTTTTACATTATATCTATGGCATTCCTACCAACTTATTTTGGTAAGAAACTGTTCGTTTTCTTTTTCTCTGCGACTGTCTCGGTATTTATATATATACATATATATTCTAGATCTGTCTTTCATTTTGACTGGAACATTTGTCTGGAAAGTCGCGGTAATAACTGCTGTCAGCAGCATACCCTTATTAATAGTAAAGCTGATAAAGAGGTACTGGTTTATTAAGACATATGAGAAATTGTAAGTAAAAGGGATTCAAGTTATGTTTTTTTGTTTCTTTCACAAAAGTTTATATTCCTACTGATTCAATTTATTTTATGCGTAGAAAAATTGTTGAATAGTTTTATGTTCAGGATGGGTTGGGTCGAGAAACATCTGCATTCAGCGGACGTATTTTGAATTCAGTAAGGCTACTGTAAGTTGTAATAAGTAATTGGAAAACTATGACAGCCTTTGGACTTTTAGGTATAACCTTGAATTAACATTAAACCATCTTGCAATTTATGTTTGCAGTTTTTTTTTAGGCGTAACTGATGACTTATTTATTCCTGTGCATTTAATTGCACTAAATATTTAACATAGCATATACTTTCTCTCACATTTATATTTGGGGATGATCTAAAGAGAGCTTCACACATTTTTTAATTAGAAAAATAAAACCCATAGATCAAAGAACCGAAAAAGATTTTATTCAACTATCAAAAAATTTATTAATCTTTTAATCTTTACCGAAAAATAATATTTATAATTTTTTTTTAACCCGCAATCATGCCATGGCATGTCTTTGTTGCAATATTAAATAAACATCTTAGTTAAAGGAACTACAGTGCGAGTCAAAATTATTGGAAAATCACTGGGCAAGATTTGTATAAATAAAACTAACCAAATTTAGACAGGAATGTGATACCAAAATGTAAAGTTAAGAAGAATAGATTATTAACTAACTTCTCTCAAACCTTTATTTTCCCGGCACCTCTTTACCAGCGTAAATCGAAGATGAAATGATGGCCATGACCCCTTCTAAACAATGAAAATTATATTTTTCAAAGAATGGTATATGTAAGGTAAAAAAAATTTATACAGCAATTAAAATATATCTTATGATTATTTATAACAATCTTCAGAAGTTGAAAAAAACGAGTAAAGTAATGATGTCAAAAAGAGTTGATTGTCAATGAGTAATTTCAAGTCAACTTTTATAAAAAAAAAAATCAAGTATTTCATAAAAAAAGATTCTTCTATTTCTACTTGGATTTTAATAATAAAATTAAATAAAATAATCTTCTATTAATTATCACTAGTCAAAAAATATTTATTTGACATAATGTCACTTGTGTAATATTCTTCAAAAAAAAAATAAATAATTTGATATATTGATGATATAAATAAATCATCAATCAATTTCTACTATATAATTTGATATAAATAAATTATCAACCAATTTCTACTATATAATTCAACATTATTTGCTATATAATTCACATCATTTTTACTATATATTTCATTAAAAATTTTCTCAAAAAGTCATTAAACATTTATCAAAATTTATGCATTTATCAAATTTTTAATTATATATTATTATTATTTTTTTTTTTTAAACCCTCTATCAGGTTAGATATATATACTTTATTTAACATATATATGCTTTACATTAAAAATGTATTACTAAATCTAAGTCTCTACCTAACTCACTTGTCTCTATTTTAAGAATATTAAAATTCTAAGTGTAACTTTGGAAGTAATTTATCGCTCCATTAACAGTTTAGGTAAAGACCTTTCCAACTATTAATTTCATTGCCTGCAGGTCACTATTGCAAATTATCCTGTGAGGTTCTGACAGAGCTTAAAATACAACCATTTTATTTCATACTCTACTCTTCTTGTTAAAATTTCTCAGAGACTTTCATCATCAAGGTTTCTTTCTTTAGATAGTGGATTTCTTTTCTTCAAGGATGTAGTTTTCTGATCTAATAGATAAGATCTTTTTATCTGGTCTTTTTTACTAATTCCTTGTGTTCATTCTCATTCAATTATTTTTTCACATCTCTTGTTCCAGACTTCTTTTTAGATTTGATTACAGACTCTTTTTTGTATTTTTAATATTCACTTTTTTGCAATTTTTTCTTTATATTTACCATGATATTTTAGATCTGCTACTTCTAAAATAAGGTCAGTTCTTATAAGGCCAGTACAGAAACTTAGTATATTCTGATTTGTTTCAGAAGTCTGTTTCACTATTTTAGCAATTCACTTGTCAAACTCTCCTATTTCTTCATAGTTATCAATGCTTAACCTGTAATTTTTTTCTTCAGCCTCTCTCTTTCTTTTTCACAATAGTTCTTTGAAGTTTCCAATAATTCTATTTACTCTTTTGTTTTATACTGTGATTAAATTTATATTTGACCGGTGTGTCCAAGTGGAATTGCTTTTAAAAGAACAATTCTCAAAGAAAGAATTAAAGAATCAGTTTATAATAAAGAAATATTCAAGAAAAGATTCAACAAGAATCCTTTAAACAGAGTCATAAAGTGTTTCTAAAGAAATATGGTTCGCTCAGAATCCAAGTTTATTAATAAATCAAGAAAACTAGGACAATTTCTTTAGTCCTAAAATCAAAAGAAGATATTCAATCTTTTAAAAGAAAAATGAAGTTATTTCTAAACTTCCAAAGTCAAGTAAAGCTATTTACAAACTTCTAAAGTCAAGTGAAGTCATTATCAAACTTATCCTACTTTTGAGCAAATTATGATTGCTTATATACTTGTAAAAATGGGCCACTTGGGCCTCTTAAGCCTCTTGGGCTTCCTGATCTACGATAAATTATATCATATGCTACATTTGATAAAGTGATCTATGTTAATTAAGTACCAATAAGAATATCAAAGAATATCAAAAAAATAATTATAAATAAATAGATAATAATAGAAATAGAATGAAAATCATAACTAAAAATAACTATTCAATGGTATTAGAGATTATTTTTATCATATTTTCTTCTCCTTAAAAGGCAAAGTCTTCTGAGTCAAGTTTCCTCATATAGGGAATAAAATTATTTTGATAAATTTCATTAGTCATCCCAAATAGATAATTCACGAACAAAAACTTTGTTTGATAAATTTGATTTGGATTGTCTTGAAAGATTTCATAGATGCATCTAGCTGTGCGATAATAGTGGTGAGAATTTTGAAGTGGATTTTCCTGAAGGTACTGTTGCTACAATTGTTTGGAGTCCTGAACAGTATTCAATAGTTCTCTCAAATAGTATAAATTGATCAGAGTGGCTATGCAATCAGATTGTTGTATGTATTGCTTGATTTCCAAAAGAATATTTTTGATACTATCTTTTATTGAGGTGATGAGATTGTATGGGGGTTCATACCAGTTTGAAATTCCATCCAAAATGGATAATATATTCATTTTGAGTAAGTCCAGTTTCCTTGCAACTGATTGTTGGCAGTTGAGTTTGAACATTTTTTATAGGAATTTTCCCATGTAGATATTCCCTAAATATATTTTAAGGTTACACTATTGATAATCAATTCATTCCAATTTGGTTTGATATAATGGCTTGTCTAATTAATCATCAATTCCTGTTCAATATTAAATAGGTAAGCTTGATGAATAATTCATCACTAATTCCTATATTCTATATCTCAATTTCCTTAAAAATATCTCATGTCAACAGACTTGAGTGTGCTATTGAAAATCCTAATCTAGTGATTAGTTGTATTATATTGGTGCAAAAGAAAATGAAATTCCTTGATCAGGCTTTATTTTGCTATTATTGTTCAAAATATGAAGAAGAATTAGCCTCCCTTCAGACTGAACTTTCTATACTTCGTGAGCAATTTAGAGCTCAGAAAGATACTTTGCAGTGGCTTCATCTTCGTAATCAAGAAGCTATGGTCCAATATTAGCAATAGAAAACTTCGCTCCTTCAAGTAAACTCAAGACAGTTGGCTTTGAAGCTTTCTCAATGGTTGGCAGTATACTTAGAAATTCAAGTACTTTGTTTTTATGTAAAAGAACTGCGGTTCTAATTAGTTCAAGCAAATATTCTTTCAAATTCACCTTCCTCCAGAGCCATTAGTAAGTGGCAGATA